ACCAGCCTGGGCAACATGGTGAGACCTCGTCTCTACAATAAATAAATAAAAAAAATTAGCTGGGTGTGGTAGTGTGCGTTTGTAGTTCCAGCTAGTTGGAAGGCTGAGGCAGAAGGATTGCTGGAGCCCAACAGGTTGAGACTGCAGTGACTGGGAGTGTGCCACTGCCCTCCAGCCTGGGCGACAGAGACTCTAATTCAAAAAAAAAAAAAGAATCTCATAAGGAGCTTGCAACCTAGGTCTCTCACATGCGCAGTTCACAATAGGGTTCGTGCCCCTATGAAAATCTAGTGCTGCTGCTGATCTGACAGGAGGTAGAGCTCAGGTGGTAATGCGAGCGATGGTGAGCAACTGTAAATACAGAAGAAGCTTCACTGGCTCACTGCCGCTCACTTCCTGCTACCAACTGAGAGTGGCCTGGGGATTGGGGACCCCTGGTCTAGAGCATCCACTGGTCCGAATAGCTCTGTGCTTATCTTCACAACAGCCATCATTCTGCCTTTTAAAATTGTGTGTCGCCTTTTGGACATAAAAGCACAGAGGTGGGGAGCCTACACACAGAACAAAACATAAAACACGGCATATTCATTTGCCTGAAAGTGGCCTGTGCTGGGTGGTCTTGGCTGTGCTCCATGACGTGTCTCCACGTAGAATAAGGGATCTGAAGGGCTGATCTCAGATCTTTTGCAGTGCTTAGAGACCCAGATCCCTGGCTTCATCAAATATCTGAATCTCTTTGTTCTTGTTTTTTAGTGTTACGGGCTACAAGTGAGGATTTACTACATAAGTAAGCTCCATGCAGGTGAAGTCTGGGCTTCTAGCTGGCCCTCTCTCCCTCTGATGGTGCACCAGGGGCCCAGTATGTTGCCCCATGCCCTCTTCTCTCCTCCGGCACTATACAGCTACTGCCTACCGCCCTTGTACTCATGTGACCAGCAAGGGCTCATATGACCAGCATTCATGGCCCGCTTATGAGTGATACCATGCACTATTCAGTTATTTGTTTCCGTAGCTATCTGAATCTGGATGGCTACCAATCCTGTATGCCTGGGTCCCTGTTTGTCATCATTAACCCCTTTTTCAGAAGAAATGAGAGCCCCCCTTGCAGAGCAGGACAAGTTTGAGGCCGGAGCTTGGATGCTCTGGGGGCCAGGAGAGTGTCCCCACGCCAAGTGGGCACACGGCATGAGGTGCAGCAGGGCATCCAGTGCACCCGGAGAGCCAGAGTCACCCGAGGAGGGCCAACAGCGGAGGGCTACCCAAGGAGGGTGCCACTTGGCTCCACACAAGGCCCTTTCCGGGGCCTTCACTGGCTCATGGGAGAGGAAGACCGAAGTAGGTCCCCATGCAAAGTTCGTGGCTCTTTTTGTGACTCACAAAAGGGACTCTTTGGGAGAAGGAAAGGGAGGGTGACACAAAGAAGCAAATAAAGGATCTGGATCGCCCACACAAGGATTCCCACTTGCTCAGAAGGCGGATCCTCAGGGGCCACAGCTCGACCTCCAATGCAGGGGAGGGTGGAGACCCAGGCCGGGACAGCCTAGGATGGCCACAGCCACGGCCACGGGCCACGCTTATATAGGGGAGGAGCTCCTTGGGGTCCGAGGGAAAGACAGCCTTGGATCCTTCTCCAGCCCACGTCCGTAAGGAGACCTAATTATGACCGTGGACTTCAAAAGGAACATTTCACCCACAGCAGATTTCGCAGAAGGTTCTAGGGGCAGCAGCAAACCCAGGCCGACCTTGAAGAGCCCAAAGTCTGAAGGTCCAGGAACTCAGCAGGCCATCACGGTGGACGCCTCAGAAGCTCAGGGGCGAATGAAGTGGTGGGGTCCTGATGGGAATGGTCAATCTAGAATAAATGCCAGCGTGTTCCCCCACATGTGCACTGGGGGTCAGTCGGGGTACAGAGCTGAGAAAATATATGGACAGTAGAGAAAAAAAAGGTAAGCACTAGAGTATAAACTGTTCCATCAAAAATTATTTTAAAACATAAAGTGGATTGAAAATTAAGTAAGAGTCAAGGGTCTCAGGGAATTCTTATCTAAGACACAGAAATTTGGTGACATGGCTTAGTGTACTGATCAAAGCGTCAATAGCATGGTAAGGTAATTAAAATTGTTTTGCACTTGGATTTTTAAAACTTTCTACATAACACTTGGCTCAGAAAAGGCTGTTGTAATTGCTTTAATAAAATTAAGCAACTTCAAAAAGAAAGAGGGGATTGGAGTTATTCATCTAGCATTGACCGATATGAAACTACCTAAGAGATACTTCTGGCACTGGCTTATTGTATAATGAATAGAAAAATACTCTGTGGGATTGGCAGTAGTGGGACACTGCCCAGCGGGGGGGGTCACATCACATCAATAAGGGTACCAAAACCTTACCTATACGATGACCACTTAAGTATCTAACCCTGAATTGTACCCCACATCTTTAAAATAATAATAGTAAAAAATAACAAAAATAAAAGTACTCTGAACTATAACGCTTTCAGTCATGTGCTATTATTTCAGTTACTCTCACAGAACCCAAGAGTTAGGGAAACAAAAAAGAAAGAAAAAGAAGCCATGAATCTGTACAGTCACTCCATCCACACACTTCAATTAAAACAACAGCTCTATGAACATACTAGTGACACCTCGGACATCCAGCTAAGGTGGGTGACGGGAAAAGACAAGCAATGGATTCTAAATAAAATCATTTACAAAGTGATCTAAAAGAAACTCACACAGGTACCCTTTAAAAGTATTTGATTCAGATACTCTAAAAAGTCAATATCAAGTTGTGACTTTCTTACCTGACCACATTCCACCACAGGACTCCCAATCAGATGATTGTTGTAGGTATAGTCACGTGCCACATGACGTTTCCACCATCAGTGGAGGGCATTTATGCCATTGGTCCCATAGGATTATAATGCCATGTTTTTGCTGTACCTTTGATATGTTTAGATGCACAATTCCTTGCCATAGTACTCGGTAGAGTAACATGCAGTACATGGTTGTAACCTAGGAGCAAGAAGCCACACCACATGGCCTAGATATGTGCAAGGACGCTCTAAGATGTCCACATACCATGAAATTGCCCGATGAGGCATTCTTCGGGACGTATGGATCCCTGTTGATAAGTGATGCATGGTTGTACGTGTAATCTATACTGTCCTTAGGAACTTGCTTGAAACTTTTGCAGCTTGAGGTTGAAATGGTCCCAGAGACCGAGGAGGTGGGATTTATTTTCACTGGTTATCCCAAAATGTCAAATCAGACAGTCGATTTGTTAAGACACGAAGCTGGTTCACCTTAGCTCCTGGGAGCTTGAGTTGTATAAAGAAACTATAAGTTTCAGACCTAGCACATGACACGTCAGCCGTGTTCACTTTTCCATGTCTGCTTCCCCAAGAGATCTGCCAAGTCCAGGGATAAATAAACATCACCAATAATTTGTTTAAAGTAACTGACACAAGGTGATTTATTTCATGCTTTTATTTACTCTCTAGTTGTATAACTTAATAGATAATAAAGCTGGGCTAGGAAAAACTGTTCCCTAGTGGTTCTCAATCGGCAAGCCCTAGACATGAAGACAGACATACTTGGGAACTCAGAGTCGGACTTCAATGTCATTGGTTTCAAAGACTGTGGAATTCACAGACATAACCATTTGGCCCAGGAAATGGAAGGGAGAGAATAATTTTAAAGATACTGGGGAAAAATTGGATGGTGTAGGAGAGTTCATTACAAAGGTTTTTAATTTAGGGTCTCTGCCTCAAATGTGACAATCTCTGGTCTGAGAACGCCAAGTATAAGAATACACATCGGCCGGACACGGTGGCTCATGCCTACAATCCCAGCACTTTGGGAAACCGAGGTGAGAGGATTGCCTGAGCCAGTGGGTTCAAGACCAACCTGGGCAACTTGGCGAGACCTCATCTCTATAATAAATCAAAAAATTAGCTGGGCATGGTGGCGCGTGCCTGTAGTTCCAGCTACTTGGAAGGCTGAGGTGGAAGAATCGTCTGAGCCCAGCAGGTTGAGACTGTGGTGGCTGGGATCATGCCACTGCACTCCAGCCTGAGTGACAGAGTGAGACTCCAACTCAAAAAAAAAAAAAAAAGAATACACATCAAGGTTCAACACACTCAGTTTTTGTTGGGTTGGTTTGGTTTTCTTACATTGAGTTTCAAGAGTCATGCAGCCCTTAGAAAGTTAAACTCCTAGTCATTAAGTAATTTATAGACAACCAAAATACCAAGAGTTTCTACACTGGTATTAAAAACAAATACCAGTGTTTTTAATGGTATTTAAAAATAGGAGACTGGGCTTGGTAGCTCAGCCTGTAATCCCAGCCCTTTGGGAAGCCGAGGTGAGTGGATTGCCTGAGCCCGTGGGTTTGAGACCCGCCTGGGCAACTTGGCAAGACCTCATCTCTACAATAAATAAAAAACTAGCTGGGCGTGGTAGCACACGCCTGTAGTTTGGCTACTTGGAAGGCTGAGGCGGAAGGATCGATGGAGTCCAGCAGGTTGAGGCTGCGGTGGCCGGGAGCGTGCCACTGCCCTCCAGTCTGGGCAACAGAGTGAGACTCCAACTCAAAAAAAAAATGAATTGGATTCCTTCATAATGGTTAAATTTAAGAATCTGCCCTCCTGTAAAGTGGATTTCAACCCCAAATAGAAAAAACAAGATTATTTCAAATAAAAAGCAGTTAGCAGAGAGGCTTTTCAAATGTGGGTGCTCCATGGATGGAGTTCAAGGGTAAGTTCCTGGTCTCTTTGCAGCTTTATGGCTTTGAACATCCTTGTGAGAATGGAGCGCCCCACTCAGATGCACCCCAAACACACTCATGGCATAGTCTCAGGGAGAAGACAGTCTCACCCTCTGGTCACAAAGCACCGAGAAGCAAGATTAGGCCCCAGGCACCCATCCCTGCGCCCTGGACAAAGGCAGATCCCTGAAAGGGGGAACGGGGGACAGGTGGGTGGCCGGCGTGAGCCTCACCTCTCTCTTTCCCGCTCCAGCAGGTTGGTGAAGTCATCGCTCTTGTTCATGTAGTCCGCGTGCTTGTGTTTCTCGCTCTCCAGCTCATACACGGTGCGCCGGTGACACTTCTCTGCCAGCAACAGCTGCTCCAGCATGCGCCGGTAGGTCTCCTTCTGCTTCTCCTCGAGTCTGTCCAGCTGAACAAGCAGAAGCAGGGAAGAGCAGAAGAGTCTGTTTCATTTGCACAGGACTCCAAATCACTTGTTTCCACTGGTCTAGTGATTGACTACCCCAATGGGGAGGACAGGGAGACGGGTCCTCATGACCATGTCTCCCCCAGTCTGTGACTTTCTCTGACTTAACAACTGGCCACAACAGTGCCGCACTCACTTCTGGCCTTTGGAACCCTTCTGTAGACATTCACATAGTTCTCGGGCTTCCAGGTGAACAAGCTGCATTAATTAAATAGCACAAAACCCTACATTCAGAGAGGAGGAAGACAACATCCCTCCTGATTTCAGAAAACTTAAGATCTCTGCACATACAGACAACAGACTTCTCCCCTGGGAAGTCATGACCCTTGCCACAGTCTCTCTGTGAGGTTTGCTAGATGCCTTTCTAGGAGAAGTGTGTGAAGGGCCCAGGTCCTCTTTTTTTCTTTTTTGAGTTGGAGTCTCACTCCGTCTCCCAAGCTGGAGTGTAGTGGCACACTCACAGCCACCCCAGCACCAACCTGCTGAGCTCCGGCGATCCTTCTGCCAAGTCTTCCAAGTAACCGGAGCTACAGGCGCACACTACCACATCTGACCAATTTTTAAAAAAAATTGTAGAGACGAAGTCTCATCAAGTTGCCCAAATTGGGCTCAGGCAATCCACTCTCCTCGGCCTCCCAAAGTGCTAGGATGACAGGCTAAACCACCGAGTCTGGCTGGTTCTCTTTTTCCCAATACATGCTAACTCCAGGGAGAGTTTCAGAATTCATAGACACATATGTCTAAAAGAAGTCTTTGTCAAACACTATTATGGGATTTTTGTGCCTCTATCTCTGACCAGGCTTAGGATTTCTAAGGGACCATGCCTTGATCACTTTTTAGTCCCTAGTGCTGAGCAGAGGGCCTGAAACAAAGCAGGTATTCAGTAAGTATTGGTTAAATTGGACCACATTTTACAATATTGATATTTCCCTATCCTAATCTCGACCCTACTCTCCCCTCAGGGTTCCTCGACATTGGCGCTGCTAAGGCCAGATTATTCTCGATTGTGGGGTGTTGGGCACTAGGAGATGCTCAGTGGAACCCCTGGCCTCTGCCCACTAGATGCCAGTAGTACCACCTCCTGTTGTGACAATCAAACCATCCTTGCTTTGCTAAGGAGAAAAATCTACTACCACTAGGTTGACAACCACTGCTCTAGTTGTAACAGACATATTTCAAATCTGTTCTTCTCTCATAGCCAATTCCCTAAAACCCAGTGGGGTAACTCGAAGGGTTTCAGTGATGCTGAAAATTAAGCTTAATTTTCTATGAGTGCCCTTAAGTTATAAGGAGGACTTGTGATTCTCTCTATAATTGTATAACGTGTTCATTGTGGTTGGGTCAATTCTGAGTCCCAAAATAAAAGACAGTACTCCCATGATCCCCAATGCCTTCTTTGCAGACATCCACTTCCTTTGTTTAGAAGAAAGAGGCCAGAGAGAGGCAGGTGGGGAAGCCCATATTAGATGGTGGCTGAGGTCATCAGGGAACTGGCAACTTAGTCTTCTATGAATTCTAATATATTGCTGTAGTCTTATAGGGACAGTCTATGCAAGAGGCTTTCTCATTAAACTAACTTCCTGTTACAAAATATTCTCCCCAAGGACTCTCTCAGTGTCTACAGGTGTGATTTTCACCATATTTTTGTGGAACTTGTGAAGCACTGCTGAAACCATCATCATCAGGAATGTAGAAAAAACAATTTTCCCCATTATTGATCCTTCCTACTTTACCATAATATAGGACTCTCCGTCCTTTGGCAACTATTTGAAGATCAGCTTTTACCTGTTTCCTCAGACCCTCCTTCAGCCTCCCTGAGGAAAGCGGGGTGACGTATTTGAAGGGTGTATATGAAATGGGAGACTGGACATGTCAGCAACTCAGTCTTTTTTTTTTTTTTTGAGTTGGAGTCTCACTCCATCATCCAGGCTAGAATGCAGTGGCATGCTCGTGGCCACCCCAGCATCAATGTGCTGGGCTCCAGAGATCCGTCTGTTTCAGCCTTCCAAGTAGCCAGAATTACAGGTGCGCACTACTACGCTTGGCTAATTTTTGATTTATTGTAGAGACGAGGTCTCACCAAGTTGCCCGGGCTGGTCTCGAACCCATGGACTCAGGCAATCCACTCACCTTGGCCTCCCAAAGTGCCAGGATTACAGACTGAGCCATCGAGTCCAGCCAGCTCAGCCTTTTACTTTTTTTATTTTTCACTCTGCATGCTATTGCTCTGAAGATTCAAACTCTCCCCCCAGGATCTCTAAATCTACTCGGGGAATTCTGGAGGGGAAGGTGGCAGCATTATTCCTTGGATGGTTGACTGGAAAATGCAAAGGCACAGTCATTGCACGGATGTCTGGAAAGGAAAATAGCACATGGAACCCTCACATGTTCTGGGGCAATCTAGTCAGGGGTAGGCCTTAGCCTTGATACATTCTGTCCACGTCAACCTTTGAGACTGGCTGTTCGCGGTAGCTGCAACTGGGTCACTGACTGGGCCCCTGGGGTAGGTGGCTGGGGTCTCTATGGGCAATGGAGATGAGAAACAACCTCTCAACCATGACTAGCACAGCTTGAGCCAACAGTAATTATGTTTCCAAGATGGAAATCCTTGGTCCCGTCCTACATACGTTACTGAGGCATTGGTGTGTACAACATGTTTCTTAGAATGGCAGATCCAGACTTTAAACCAGAGAGGCAGTCACTTCTTCTGCTGTGCAATATTAGTGTGTGAGAACCTAGTTTGGGGATGTAAGAACGAAAGTAGCAATGATCAGCCATGCCATCTGCTGTTTCTTGTTATTTTGTCTGGAACTCCATCAAGCTCCTGAGACTGGGTAGCCTATCTTCCTGGCTCTGTGTGGCTTGTCCAGATATCTGAAGACCACATAGAGTCATTCGTCTCAGACACTGAGCACATGGCTTTGGTCTTCAGGACCCAAGCTGCAGCTTAGCATGGAGGAATGGTTTGTATTCACAAATAGTGAAAATGGAATGGGCTTCTATTACTCTGGAACTATAAATTCTCCTTGGACAGAGATGGAAGGGGAGTTGAATGAGATCATCACACGACACCGAAGGCCAAACATTTGCTACGGCAAGAGCACATCTGGAAGTCTTGTTCTTGTGAATTAAGTTGGTGGAGGAGAGAAGGACTTGAGGTGAGGGGAAATTTCAGTATGTTTCAAGGAAAAGAATCGTGGTTCAGAAAATGGTTTTAGTTCTATTACCTGCAAAAGGCTGATTGGAAAAGTATTAAGGAACCGAGGAAGAGAAAAACCTACTTAAGAGAAAATGTGAGGTCATAAAAAAACAAACTGGATTTAAACAAAAGGGAAATGGATCTCATTGTTGTCAAAAATAGGAATATCAAAAAGGAAGGCATTTTAGTCATTGCTGCATCAGAATGGGTGCCCAGAGGAGACAGAGACAGGAAGGTCCAGAGAACAGAGCAGTCTGACACCCCCACAGAGAGGGTGTTGGAATCCAGGAAATGAACTGAGGCGCGCATTGGAAATCTGCAGATAATCTTCCAGGAGATCAATTGGGGTCCCTCCTCCTGAAGACTGCAATAGCTATTCAATGTGGTTCCATAAAATCTGAACAGATTTTAGGATTAAAATCTGGGAAGACTGGAGTAAGATACCTGAAGCACCGCTTGTTTGAGCTTCAGGGTCTCAGCTGTTGCTATGGCCAGTGTACCTGAGGCCTGAGTGAACACGCTCAAGAACCCTTGGGATATAGAGTCAGAAGGAAAAACCAGACACACCGAAGGAGGTTCGGGCCAGACAACAGCAGTACAGATGTGACTGTGGAATGATGAAAAATGTCCCTTGAGTGAGGATTACCCAACTCAAGGACATGAAGGTAGAGAAAATTTATGTTAAGCAAAGAACACACTCAACAGACTTGGAGCTGGTTAATTTTACATCTCTCACTGAGAAAGACCACACAATATAGAATATAGAAGGCAATATCAGAAAAATGAATGCCTAGGTCTGAAATCACAGAGGAAACTGAAGCAAACAAACCAGTCACGAACTCTGAGACCCACAGAACAGTAACAGATAAAGAAGGGGCCGCCATGGAAAACTGGAAGACAAAGAAGGGGACGCCATGGAAAACTGGAACAATGCTAAGTCAACAACATGGCTCAGCTGAGCCTTCCTGCTGCAGAAGAACTCGTGGTCGAAGAAAACATTTTTGTCATCTCGAGTTGGACGAGTTACTCAACGACTGGAAAGTTCAAATGCAAAGGGAGGCTAAATTCTGAGAAAGAGTACCACCTGGCTGGCTACGGTCTGTTTCCTTTTCTAGATCCCAAGTCACACAGGCTTCAGAAGGGTCATCTCTGAAAAGAGCCAGGGCATGGGGCTGAGAAAAGAAAAAAATCAAAGAGGTCTTCAACACACAAGCAGGAAAGTTGAGCACCTAAAATGAGACCCAGGCACTGAGGAGGTCACCCCCAGACTCTGTGGAAAGACAGGTAAGTTTGAATGCCACTCTCTGAGGGCAAAGCCTCCTCCATCCAACCTAGGATTTGCCATTCCCCTGATGACCAACTTTTTGATGATAATAGGCTATGTCTGATGTGGACCATTGCCCCAGACTGGACAGAGTCTTGTTGTAGCTAAGACTTTCTATCTACCCTCCTTCCCTCGGACATGCCATACTCTGCTTTGGTCTTTACTAAGAGTAACATGCTGCATTATCCCCAAGTCCTAAGATCAAGGGATATCATTTTGCTTGGTAAATGGATCTTACAGCTGGATAATTTTCTGTATTTTTAAAATTTATGTGTGAATTTGGTACTATGACCATTGCATGTGTCCTAACAATTCTTTAGATTCTTTGAGGAGAAAAAAAGTAGAATCTAAGGATTTCAGGATGTATGAATGCAACTTTGGAAATGAATGAGTTCGGGTCATTTTACTAAAGGGAAAAGCAAAACAAACTTCACCAGACAATCAGCTGAGATCCCTCTGACTGAAGCTGAGAAGAATAAGAAATTAAGATGGCAAGACACAAAAACCTTATTATTTTTTTTTTTTTTGAGTTGGAGTCTCACTCTGTCGCCCAGATTGGAGTGCAGTGGCCACTCCCGGCCACCGCAGCCTCGACCTGCTGGGCTCCGGCGATCCTTCCACCTCAGCCTTCCAAGTAGCCGGAATTATAGGCATGCGCTACCACACCCAGCTGATTTTTTGATTTATTGTAGAGATGAGGTCTCGCCTGCCTAGGTGGGTCTCGAACCCGCGGGCTCAGGCAATCCACTCACCTCAGCCTCCCAAAGGCGCGGGATTACAGGTTGAGCCACCGAGCCCGGCTAAAAACCTTATTTTTATTTGATTTTGTGTGTGTGTGTGTGTGTGTGTGTGTGTGTGTGTGTGTGTGATTTTGCTTAAGAATCACAGACTCCTAACCCTGAATTGTACCCCACATCTTTATAATAATAAAAAAGAAAAGAATCACAAACTTTGATATTTTGGACTTTAATTTGCAAATAAGTGGGGGAGAGGGGGAGGCTAATACTTGCTGTTTGATTTTTCTCCCCAGATAATTGGCAAGGGAAAGAGATCCATCATATTGGTTTTATTGCTTAACTTCGGGTGATTTCTAGTGGAAAATCTAGCTGGACCTAACTTGATATGATATAATGAGCATAGTCTTTTGGTTCAAGGTGTACCATGGCTTCTAGGAGTGAGAACTTGACTATCAGATCATGATCCCAGGAGGCTAATGGAACAGTGATGTACTGGTGTTCCTGCCTCTTGAATTTGGAAGCCGGATTTCTGCTCTTGAGTGACAAGAACTTGATCATTGATCCCAAAGGTTTAAGAGACCAAAATCTGTAGGTCTCGTTCTATTTCTCTCACAAAACAAGTCTTCACTTTGGCATATTAAGAAAACTTTTTCTGTCCTCCTCTCTCTCTACCTCCTTACTCACTTCTTCCCAAAAGAGGAATGACTCTTGAGATTGTTGAGTTGAGAAGTGGAAGGAATCAAGAAACATGCCCAGCTTAGCCAGCTCCAGAAAGACGGTTCATAGGGCAGGTGTTTTCTGCCCTGCTCTTCTGCCCATGAGGTAGGAGTATTTGGATTGGGTCTGCTTTCTGTAGGCAGGTCAGAAACTCCTCTCTTTGTTGGAATCAGTCCATAGAATTCAGTGAATTGAAGGCAGTGATTCTGGGTAAGGTGTCTGCTTTGCACGCCTAACTCTCCCTTGGGAGAGAGAGAGGGTCATCCCAAGTTCTAGACTTGGGAGAAAATAATTAGGTAGCCCAAAGGAGCCCAGCAAGTCAAGGCTGAGGTGGCCGGGAGCATGCCACTGAACTCCAGCCTGGGTGACAGAGTGAGACTCCAACTCAAAAACAAAAAAACCCCAACAGTATGAGTAATTATCATCCTCAAAACCCAGCAAATACTTATGGCTAATGTCTGTTGAGTACCACAAACGAACCAGAGACTACAGTTACAGCAACAACCCTATGAAATGCACATTGTGGCTTCTCCCACCTCCCAGATGAGGAAACTGAAGCTTGAAGAGCTTAACATGATCTGCCTAAAGTCATACCCAACTAATAGTGGTGGATCTCAGACCAGAAGTGGACCCGGCCTGCCAACTGCATTCTGTCTCACGACAGTCTCTTCACATTTCAGAAAAAGACGAGAAAGAGGTTTCAGTTGTGCTTGTGGCAGAGATGAGAAAAGTCTAGGATCATCAGTGTGTTGTGAATGCTGTCTCAAGCAGACCTGGTCCCTGAGAGCTGCTAGAAGTTAAATGTACGAGTTGCTTCAGATTTTTAATATATGTTTTTTCAATTCATGACACTCATTTTAAACCTATTAATTTTTTCTTTTTAGAGTTAGTGTGACTAGATTCATAAAGTGGTTCTCCAGTCTAGCATTGAAGTTCTATCACAATGTGAGAGTATTTTTTTAAATGTTGTATTGTGAGTAATTAATAATAGTCAATAGTTCCTAATACAATGTCCTATAAAATGATTAAATATAGCCCTGTTATAATTCCTTTTATCTTAAGAATTGCTCTGAAGCCGGGCTCGGTGGCTCAGCCTGTAATCCCATGCCTTTGGGAGGCTGAGATGAGTGGATTACCTGAGCCCATGGGATCGAGACACACCTGGGCAGCAAGACCTCATCTCTACAATAAATCAAAAAATTAGCCGGGCATGGTAGCGCATGCCTGTAATTCCGGCTACTTGGAAGGTTGAGGCTGAAGGATCACAGGAGCCCAGCAGGTCGAGGCTGCAGTGGCCTGGAGCAGTTACTGCACTCCAGTCTGGGCGACAGAGTGAGACTCCAACTCAAAAAAATAAAAATAAAATAAAATAATTGCTCTGGCCGGGCGCGGTGGCTCAACCTGTCACCCCAGCACTTTGGGAGGCCAAGGCGAGTGGATTGCCTGAGCTCACAGGTTTGAGATCTGCTCAGGCAACTTGGCGAGGCCTCGTCTCTACAATAAATTTTTAAAAATTAGCCAGGTGTGGTGGTGTGTGCCTGTAGTTCTGGCTACTTGGGATGCTGAGGCGGAAGGCTCGCTGGAGGTCTGCAGGTCAAAGCTGGGGTGGCCATGAGTGTGACGTGGCACCCCAGCCTGGGTGACAGAGTGAGATTCCAACTCAAAAAAAAAAAAAGAATTTCTCTAAGCATTTCACTGGGATTTTTGCCTCAATCATTGTATTTCAGCTACTCATATAAGACCATTTTAATTATGACAGTCTATAAAATATCAAAGCAGTGACTTTATAACCATAAACATTAATAACAAAACCAATTTGATTTTAGGTTACGAATTTGATAAAAATCCTGACAGCTCAGTGTTAAAACGCATAAATGTTCAAACTTCAGGTCTTACCTACAGAAACTGAGATAATAAATTTGTGATGTTTCATGTTGAAAAAAATATATAAATAAAACTTCTAGTCTTTACACGCATCCTTTCTTAGAGAAGTAAAATAATAACATATTGCAATAACATGCAGCTATCACAATCACATGGAAAAATATATTCCAGCTTTTAAGTTTATGAAGGAAAAGCCTCTAAAACCCTTATTGACACGTACCCACCATAACCCTTGGATTATTTCATTGCACTTGAATTCTGTATGAACGCATCTCTATGTCACTGATTCTAGATGACACATCACAAACACCCCATGAGAGGAAACGCTAAAGCATGTAAGTGGGATGCTAGGAGTTCTCCCCAAGGCTCCCATCAGGGACCTTACTGCTGTTGCCCCCGTACCTCTGAGATGGGCTTCTCATAGACATCATCTCCAAGGGACTTCTCCTGGGCTAGGATGGCATCACGGTGGAGAATGCGTAGCACTTTCTCGGGCTCCGCAGACCCGTAGTGGGCCTCCAACACCTCAGGTTTGGTCTTCTCCGTCTTCAGCATGTGGATCACATCTTCCCTGGCCTGTGACAGAAAGCACAGCATGGTCAGAGAGTTGATGCCTCGAGCCACGTCCCGGGCTCATGACATCAACCCAGAGCTTACCAAGTACACCCCCACCTCTTCAGGGCTATTGGCAAATTCACCAGGTTTTCTGTTTTTATTTATTATTATTATTATTTTTTTACCAAAAGCAGATTGGTGAGCAGATACTCTGTTTCAGGTTGCTAGGAAGCAGGCAAGCAGGAAAAAAAAAAGAGTTTGTGCTAATATTAACCACATAAAAGTTGCTTTATCTCAGTAGCAGTGATTCAGGGTCGGGGGATCAAGTGGGGGCTGCCAGTCCTGGGACACTTAGCCCGTTTCAGTGCACACGAGGTCAGTGACAGTTTAATGTTTTCTAGTGTTCTGTGTCTGCTCTAATGTAGTATTCAAAACTGGTTTATCACAGAAACAAAGAACAGAGTTCCATATGCTCTCACTCATAAGCTGAGCTTGAACAAGTATAATGCTATAAGAGACTGGCAGTAGTGGGAAACTGTCAGGGGAGGGGGTTGGGACTGGCAGTTGAGGGAAACTGCTAGGGGAGGGAGGGGCACACCTCATCAACAAGGGTACCTGCCTCATCAATGTTTGCCTAATCCTGAATTGTACTCCACATCTTTATAATAAAAATTTTTAAAAAATAAAATAAAATAAAACCCAGCTGCCTCCATTCTAGTTACAATTTTGTGTGTAGGTAACAAACGGCCCTTGTTGGTGATTTCCTGTGATTCATTTTGCAGAGAGACATGTGGTTGAAACTACATGAAGCTGGGGGGTGGGGGGGG